AGTGTTTGACAAGCATCCTCTAAAGAATATGCTTTAGAACTCACTGACTTCACCTCTAATGTATCCAAGTTCTACGCTACCATCTTCTCCTCTAGAGAAACTGACTCCCTTTCTAGACTGTCCTATCTATGTCAGGAGCCTCCCAGGTCACCAGGACTCAGATAGTTTTAATTATCTCCTTTGTCCCAAAGCTCTAGAAACAGTCTTCTCTACTTGTCCTTCAAAAGATGTCTTGCAGTTCTGAGCAAATAATTTGAACAGACATTCACATGAAAAGCAATAATGACATTAAATAAACATGTGAAAAATGTTCAAATTAGAATAATCAAGGTACACAAATTAAGATGATAGTAGGTATAACTTATGTTAGGAAAAGAAAAAAATCAGTGATGGCAAAATTTGGTGCACAGAACTGTTCTAGTATCATGTAGATGGTAATGTAAAATGCCTCCTGAGGAAAGTCACTTTTAAATCTGTGAAGGATCATAGGAATGTTCATATACTGTAAACTAGTAATCCAAACTCCAGATAGTAGTTTCTTTAATAATTGTTTCAGGTAATTGTTTTAATCAGATAATTCAAATTAAGGAAAAAAATCTATGGATAATCAAAATGTTCTAGATAATTATTTATAATGACAAGACACTGAAAACAACCTAATTGTTCAACAATTTATGATTGATATAACAAATTAGTATACAATAAACAGATGAAATATTATATAGCCATTAAAATTATAATTACTGAGGAAGCCTGAATGAAAATTATTTATCAAGTAATGCTTAGTGTACCAGGATACAAAAGCTCATTTGCATAGTTATTATAACCATGCCAGAAATAATCTCCACACCTACAGAAAAAGCAAACAGGAAATTGGAGCAATAAGGTGGTAGAAACAAGGCTATTTTTTCTTGTGCTTAATTTTCTGTAATATTATTTCTACAATAAACAACTATATTTTTCCTGAAACATTAAACATATTTATCTATCTTTTATACTGCATTTCGACTGCACCTCCACAGCTACCTCCCTATTCCAAACACACATTTTAATTTCTGGATGACGGCCCCCTTGGTTACCCTCCAACTCATCTAGTTTTCAAATGCTGCCAAGTTGCCTAAAATGCTACATTTATCAAGTGGCGTTACCTGATTGTCAATAATTTTTACTTTGAATTTATTTTTGTTTGAAAGTTTCATATATTTATATAATGAATTTTAGTTATTTTCTAGCCCCATTCTCCTCCTATTAGGGGGTACCAAGTATTGATACAATGAATAATGATTAAATCAGGGTAAACACCTCTCTCTCAAATATTTGTCATTTCTTTATGGCAAAATGATAAAAAAAATCCCTTATGGCCTTTTCAAGTACACTGTTGGTCACTGCTATCTGTAGTCACCACATCACATACCCACATCAGAGCTTTGTGTTACTGTCTAACTGGGACTTAGTACTCACTGGTGACAGGTGAACAAGATTTGCTCCTATTTGCCATCTGTTCTAGTTCTCCAGGCCTACCCATCCTGGTGCAATGCTTCATTAGTCATACTTCTCTACTCTCACTGCTGAGCACACTCTGTGCTGTCTCCTTCTCAGCATCAGATCTAACACTTCTAGTCTTAAGCTGTGTTTGGAAGGGTTTCTCTACATGTACTCATTTGATTCTCACAAACATTTGATGTTGCTCTTATCCTATCTTACAAATAAGAAGAGATAAAAATAGTGATAGAGATGAGATGAGAAGGGACAAATAAGAAGAGACAAAAATAGTGACAGAGATAAGAGATGAGAAGGGAGAGGGTTAGGAGGAAGCACATGAACATGGGTTTCAACTGAGGGAGTATTAACTCCAAGGCCTTATTTAGTAATAGGATCTATTACTCTAAGACACCATGCTTCATCTCCTCTCCTTTCACTTTCAGCCTTCAGTTTTCTTATCCTTCTATGACTTTACCCGAAACACAAGAAACACTTACCATATACTAGTTTAAGGCGTTTCTTGTTTAAGCATCATGTTCTTTTGAAAGTTTTTATAAGGAAAAGCTGGCTTAAAAGCTATGAGACCTTGAGTGGAATACTCACTCACTCTCAATCCTTTATCTGAGTTGGCAGTTCTCAATGTGTGGTCCCAGGGCCAGCTGTGCTAGCATCAGCCAAGGACCCAATTAGAAACGTTGATTTTTGAGGACTAATTCACACCTATAAAATTTGATGTTGGGGGGCAGAGTCCAATGGACTCTCATGTTTCAACATGCTCTCCAGATATTTCTATTGCACATTCAACTCTGAGATTCAATACCCTGGTCTAATGCCTATCTGCTGGAATTGTTACAAAGTTCTGCCATAAGTTGTGCAACTCAACCCAAAGCACATAAGGTTGTTTTGCAAGTAATGATGTATTATTACTGCTGCTGAACTCTGTGTGAGCTTCTATTTTCTGCTCAAGCTGTGGGCAGACAACACTTCTCGCTGCTCTCTTACTAGTATCTCCCACCTTGCTAAGCAAAAGGCAGTGCCCATGCTAAGATTTTAGTAAGACTCTCTTACTTCACTGATGAGTGAGTAGGAGAGGCATTTTGGAGACTGCTGAGGTGTAGAGTACTGTTTCAGAAGCAAAACTACTTGGGGCTAATGAGGGGCTGTAGGCAAATGAATGTGTTTGTGTGTACCTCAATTGCTTCTCTCTATTAAATGGAGAAGAAACTACACCTACACTGATTATACCTATACTACAACCTCACAGTTGATAAGTAAAGACTTATAAAAATGCATTCCATGGTGCCTAAAACATATTAACTGAGTTATTTACTGCCTTGGGGTGTCACTCTATGGTGAAGCACTTGCTTAGTGTACAAAAGACCATACATTCTTTCCCCAGTGTTGAAGAAAATAAAAAGAAAACAGGAAAATTTTAGCATTGTTTTTGTGACTTTTCACCCATGCACTAGTGAATAGGTTCTATTTCCCCCTTTGGCATGATAAAATACCACTTGAAATATGTCTCTGTGTTAAGCACATAGAATAAGGCTATGCTCAGGTTATGGTATCTTTTTTAATGGTCTCAGTCTAATAATATATGAAACCTGACAGTGTCATTAGATTAAAATAATACCCATAAGGACATAGCATATAGCAGTCCAGAGCTTGTGGCAAGGGTTGGGAAGTGGTGGGTCCAGCCATGGAATTTCTGCCTAAGACTTAGAATCCTGAAGCATTTTGTTGAGGAATCTATTTGCAGTCTGTCCTTTATGGATCCCGATGGAAGCAGGTTTAATGGGGATGGGGGCAGGAACTTTGGTGTCAGACTCTCTGAAACCTAACATGATTATTTGCTGTCTGTAACCTGGGTTAAATAACTTCTCTGGATCTCATCTATAAAAGAGGCAGCACAAGAACTAGTATGGAGATCAAATGCAATGTTGAATGTAGAATGATCCATCCCAGTGACTGATAATTATAGATGATTAATAAATATTGGGCATTATCCTCTTTTCCATTGCAGGGGAAATGAGTAATCTTCCCAGACTTTGGAATGAAAGAAAGGCCAAACTAATTCCAAACTATGCTATCAAATCATGGGGCTAGTATTTAGAATGCAGTTATGAATTATGCCAAAGAAAGTAGCTTTCCCTCTAAACAGTTTTTAGTTTCCTCTAAGTAGCAGGTCTTCTTCTAAGAGCTACAACTGGGTAGCTGGTTAGGTTGCTGGTACAAGGTATGATTTTCCTCTTGTTGAGTCGTCCTGCAGTCCAATGAGACAGCTTTTGGTTACCACCACAACTAACTGTAGCTCTTTCCTTTAAAGAAACCTCTAATCGGTGTTCCCCAGGGAGGAACCCCTAATTGGCTATACAAGACCAAGCGGTCATGCCTAAAATCACAGACATGCAAGCTTCACTAAAGGACTCAGTAGGCTGCATATATAAATTTATATGTGTGTGACAATAATAGTCAAAGAAAATAGGCCATACATTTGAGAATAAGTGGGGGCATGGAAGGGTCTAAAAGGAGGGGACATGGGGAAAGGAGGGAAGAAAGGGAAAGGTGAAATGGCCTAATTACATTTGAATTAAAAATAACGGAGAATAATGTAGACCACCTAAAAGAATTCTGGACTATTTAAGGACCAGCAGACCATGATTCTCCTTCATGTCTCTTAGTGCCTTCACTCAGAGATGAGAGTCACAGCTTAGGGCCTTCTTTTCTGCCTTCTGGAGATGGCAATGTGAGGCAAAATCATTGAGAACCCTCTTTTACTAACTGGCCTGAGAAAAACTGGCTGAAAGAGCATATCGAAATGTTGTACAAAAAAGATGTGACTAGGCAAGCAGCGAGCTCAAAGAAAGTGACTATCTACACCTCTTGATTCACTTAGAGCCACCACCTAGGACACCTCATCTCTAAGGAACATGAGTGCCGGGGACTGTGATCTACCATCTTAGGAGTTAGATTACCATCCTCAGCAAAGCAGTCCTTTTTTATTTCTTTATTCCAAGTTGTATGTGCCTTTCTCCAACAGTTGTAACCTATAATCACATGTTTATGGCCCATAAGTTCTCAACAAGTCTTACTAAAAGTGTGCTGTCAGAACACAAGAAGCAGGTACTTCCAACAACCTAGGACAAAGAGAAGAGTCCCTCCTCTTTGTTGAGCCCAACTGTTTGTGGCCTCTCAGGAGGCAAGCACAGTTTATGCCTTCTCCCACGTTTCAGCATAGTCTTGTTCTCTATGTCTTTGGATATATCTAGACAGGGCTGCCACAGACAGACATACCTTCCCAGCACTGCTGACTATTCTAAAATGTCCTCACAATCTATCTGGTCTATATCCAGATGGTGGTGGAGGGAGCACATTGGATTATATTTATGGCAACAAGTCCTTGGTGTGAAGAGCAGACCAGTTTTGCCAAAGAAAATCAAGCAAACCAAAAGTTGTAGCATTTTCTAAAGAACCTCAGAGGCACAAAATTAACCCCAACTGCCAGAGCAGTCACTTACCTCCCTGAATGGCTAGTTTTCCTGTTGCCTGCTATTGGCTTCCACTTGTCCCCAGGAAATTCCTGCAAATGAAAATTATGGTAAGTTAGGGAACTTTGAACAGCCAGGTATCCAGGTAGTTTCAAAAATAGCAGTCTGGCCAGGTTCCTTGGCTGGTAGCATGAACTCTCCCAGACTGTTCACTTGGAAGGCTGCCTTTCTCTTGGGAAGCCTGCTGAGCCACTGCAGTCATGCAGATATCCAGAAAGCACTCAGGGACCTGGACACTGTGGGCTAAGAATGTTGAATTTCCCTCCCACTGCACTCCCCTCCCAAACCACTCCAAAAACCAGTTTAGCATGTTTGCTGTTTGCTCTAGCTCTTGCTTGCACTGACGGCTGGAGATCTTTTTGTTTATCCTACGGGATGAACCTGTCCATTTCTCCTGCTTCTTCCAATTTAGAAAGTATCTTCTTGGAAGCACTGACCTAGAGGGGGGTTTGAGGGCAAGAGATACTGCTGCAGAAACCCTCCTCTCCAAGGCTTGGACAAGGTAGAGCAGACATGTCAGCTACCCTCATCCTGCAGTTGTTCTCCCTCCTCTGCCCACATCTTCAGAGAAAGGCTGACATGAGTTCATCTCAAGGACATCGAGGATTGGGTGCCCTGGTTCACACATTATAGGAGTAGACTGCCTACTCCTGAGTTGTTCAGCCATGTGCCATTGGTAAAAATTTCCCTTTATTCTTACTAGAGCCTGAACCTGAATGCATGTTTGTTTTGCAGATTCCTCCTGGTTTTGCATTTAGCACTCTCCACCTGGAGACTCAGAGCTTAGCCTAAGAGAAGGCATTTTTTCCTAAGCCACAGTGATCTTCTAAATTCATTTTGCTCCAATACTGTTATTATTAGTCTTTGCCAAGGTTTATTGCCTTAGCCCCAGCAGGCCTCTCTTTTGGGGACAAACACCTGGTGACTCCGAATGACATAGGTCTTTGGTGTCAGTTATACTGGCAAAGACATTTATTATTTGTGCTCTGTGAGGGACATTCTGTCACCACTTCAAACTTCAGTCTGCTATGTAGCAAATAAAGATTGTCAGTGAGGATCAAAGGAGCTGTGTAGAAAATGACTGGCACAGTGCATGCTATATAGAAGGCTCTGTGCTCACAGAACTTGTGAGTCTGTTGCAGGAAGGCCACTTGAGTGTATAAGACCAGCCTGACCAATACAGACCCTGCCCCAAAGAAATCTTTCATTCTGGATGTTAGTATGAAAAATAATAGTTTCTGATTCCAGCTTTCACACAACCAGAGAGCTGTCTGTTCGGGCACAGCTGAGCAATTCTAATAATTTGTACTTCACATTCTGTCTGTCTTGACATGTTTGTGAGATGTCACTGCCCACAGAGGCACCATAATGTGTCCAGCCATAGCACAAGCCAGGATTTCCTGTCCATGCTCTGTCTAGTCCTGTGGAGGTGCTTAGAAAACAGCAGTGGGCAAATCAGACAAAGCCCTCCACCCACTCACACTGACCTTTCAAGATTCTCAGTATTATTTTCCTCTTTTGCCTGAGCCACTTAGTATCCTATAACTGGTCTGTGTTCTTTGAACCAAAGAAGCAATAATACAATAGGTAGAGCAGTTGAGGACTATAGTAGAACTTTCTGACTTCGTGAAAGTGATATTGCTAGCAGCCATCCTGTTTCCTACATGGAGAGAAGGCCTAGGCTTTGCAATCTACTTACAGAGAGGCAGGTAGGACACACTGCAGAACACAGTCTCTGCAGCTAGAAGCAGAGCTTCATTTTCCACATCTGTCCTTCACCAAGTGGATGACCCACACTCCCCTTTAGCTCTGTTATATTAGACATCCATATATGTTAATACATACACAGATATGTTATATGGTAAACATATATATGCTATACACATATGCATATGTACATGTTATACCCATATATATTAATATAAATATTAATATATATTAATATTTGTATACATTATACCATAAATATATGGGACTTGTGATATGGTAGCATAATCATGACAAGGATACCTATTTCTCAATTGCTAGAAGACTCAATGCATTGATACATCTAAAGCACCCAGAATCCAGTGGACAGGCTTATACAAGTTGTTTTCATGTTGTTCAAATCCAGTTCTGTACCTTGTAAGCTGTTGTGATCTCTCTGAGACTTGGTTTCAGCTGTAAGTGTTAAGTGAAATCAAGTGGTGATATATGTAAAACTAACAGGCCTAAAGTATGTGTGATGTAAGCATATGCTGATTTCACGTCTCTAGATACCACTGAGCCAGAGCTAGTTAGCTCCCCAACCTTCTTCATGGAAGAAAGAGCAGGCTCTCGGCAACTACCTTAGTCATCAGAGCTAGAGTGTCTAAACCCATGCTGCATGTCTCGCAGGGTCAGTAATACAGGATTCCAGTGACAAGGGTAGAAACAGAACATTCCTGCATACATGGCCATCCACAAACTCATGTCTAAGCAGATATGCTTAGTGAGTCTAACAGACATTAGGAACCCAATGTTTCCCTTCCTCCAAGTACAAAAGGAGAGCTATGACACAGGCACAGCCAGTTGCTGCCACCTGTCAATTGAACTTCTTTCTCTTTTGGAGGTGCTGGTCCTGAGACAGCACCCCTGTAGTCATCTTCTTCCTTCTTTCCATTCAGCTTCAACTCCTGTTCCCTATTTACTTGCTTATGAGTACAGTACTTCTTCCAACCAAGATTTTCAAGTTAAGCCAAATTTCCCTTCATCTTAAAATAGTTTCCTCATAAGATGATTACTATCTAGTAGTCACTGTTCTAAAGGCCTTTGCATGTTTGCCATTGAATCCAACTTTTGAAGCAGGTGCTATTATTACCTTCATTTATTAGACGGGCAAGATTAGGTACTACAAAATTCTGGGGAAGGAATTTAAACCCAGTTAGTCTAGTTTCAGCTTCAATGCCTTTGGAGCATTATCTATATTTCCTCTTCTATTTTTCAGCACTGTGAATATTTTCAAACATGTCAAAAAGATGAAAGCAGTTTACAGTGAACATCCATGTATCCTATCTAGATGCTACAATTAACATTTTTGCTGTATTCACCTTATCATGTACCTCTTTACTCCTCTACTCATCAACCACTACATCTTAAATTCTTTAATGCCCTTCAAAGTAGGTACCAACAACTGTATCTGCATAAATTGAAAGACTTAAACAACATAGAGTGATTCCTTAAAAGCCACAAGCTACCAAAGCTCACTCAAGAGGAAACAGACAATCTCCATAACTCTGTTTCTATTGTGGAAATTAATGTGTAGTTTCAGGAATTCTCACAGAGAAAATTCAGGCCCAAATGATTTCAGTGATACATTTTGCCACATGCTTAGAGAAGAAATAACAGCAGTGCTGTACAAATTCTTCCTGCAAACAGAAGAGCAGGGATGCGTCCCACCTCATTTAGCTAGCATTACCTAGTTAGAAACAACAAAGATTTCACAATACAGACCAACATCTGTAATAAATGTAGATTTAGAGGGCCTCAACAAAATGCTAATAAATCAAATCTAGCAGCATAAAAATTTTACTACATTATGACCAAGTGGGGTTTATTCTGGGAATGCTAGGTGGGTACCCATTTCAAAATTTAATCAATATAAACTCACTATAAATTTAGACAAAAATTAAAATGATGTGGGTGAGCATCTTAATACAAATAGGAAAGCATTTGAAAAACCCAAATCCATTATTAATTTTAAAAAAGAGCTCCTCTGATGCTAAGCCTAAAGGGTTATCTTTCAACCATATAAAGGACAGAGAACAATCATTACAAGATTGTAGCCATGAAACATCACAGGGAAGCATTGAAAACTGCAACATTGTTGCTCTCAGCATTCTTTCTGAACACTGTATTGGGGATCCCAGGAAAGAACATACAGAACATGAAAAAACACAAAATTCCTTCTATTCCAAGTTGATGTGACCTCCTATGTGCAAAATCTTCTATAACCTACCAAAGATGTACTAGAATTCATCAGGGAGTTCAGCAAGGTTCAGGATATGAAGCTGATATACAATGTTCAACTGTATTTATATGTAGAAGTAACAAAGCATTTTAACTTAATATTCAGAAAACAATATTGTTGACTATAGCTTCAAAGCCTATTGGAATCTTAGGCATATGTAAAGCAAAATATGTATAAGATGCATAGGTGGGAAATATAAAATAATTTGTATACATGAGTATACCTCAAGATTATTTTAGCATGCATGTTAAAGTTTATCATTTGCTTGTACTATTTTAGGTGAAATGTGTTTCCTATGACATGTACAAATATTAACGCACATTTGGTGGTTGTTGAATATACTCATGTAACTCTAGTCCATATCAAGCTACTTTGAAGTGCTTTCATGCCCTTTCCCTTTTAACTTCCATTCAAATATATACTGGCAAACACTGTTCTCCACCTTTTTGCCCAAAGGAAGAGCCATGTTATCCATTCGTCGGTTGATGGACATCTAGGCTGGTTCTATTCCTCAACCATTGTAAGTATTGTAGTGATAACCATGGGTATGCAAGTATATCTGTGGCAGGACTTAGAATCCTCTGGATACTATATATAATGTAATTTTATTTAGTCATAAAGAAAAGATAAGTACTTATCCCTAGCATAGGTGTGGATTTGGTAGTCCATTCCATATAGAGGAATACTCCCTGAGCCAAGACACACGGGGGTGGGCCTACACCCTATCCCAAAGGATATGATAGACTCTGATGACACCCTATGGAAGGCCTCACCATCCAGGGGGAGCAGAAAGGATATGTGATAGGAAAGGTTTTATTTGGGAGGGGGCGGTAGTAGGGGAGGACGGGAGGGAGAAGGGAACTGGGATTGTCATGTAAAACAATCCTGTTTCTAATTCAAATTTAAAAAGTTGAATAAAATGAGCTCTACATGTAAGCATGTAGAGCTTGTGTTCACTGGCCACAAACATACAAATCTGCTAGTAGAAATACTGCATTATTTATTATTTCAAATATAATTTATTTAACTCAAAAAAGAAAAGAATAAGTCAGGCCATTTGCAGAAAAAATGGGTTGAACTAAAAAAAATATTACATTAAGCAAAATAAGCCAGATTCAAGAAGACAAATGGTACGCGTTTTATCTTTTATGTGGATCCTACCTTTTATTTTTTATTAGGACTAGCTGTTATATAAGTGAATATATTTTGCCTTTAAAAATCATGGAGCTTCAAACTAAAATCATTCCATGGTTTGCTGAAGATCACTCTGATACTAATTTTACAGTTAGAACAAATTCCAGTTCTGATAATTTTAAGGAGCAAAAATTATTTTCCCCAACCTGTAAAGTCACATGTGTATATTGCAATCTTGGTGGCTGAGTGTAGAGAAGGGGCTACATCATTGTAATGAATTATAATTCTATTTTAGAATAATGAGTTTCACTCATGCATGAACCAAGTCCTCACCTGTAGTGATGCCTTCCTAGATTTCCAAGCATTGCCAGATGCCAGGCTGCTGTCCTCAAGGGCACCATGCGGAGGATTGTGATAGCAAGCCGTACACCGAATGCATTGGTGGTGGTGGCACCTACAGTTGTGGCAGTTGGGCAACAAATTTCTCTTTAGCAATGCAGGACAGATTTCTCCAGAACAATAAATGCAAGGATCATGCATTACAGTTCCCTGAACACTGCAGGAATAGGAACAGGTCCTGTGATAATCGAAATCTCCACAGTGCAGTGGCTTACAGCACAGGGAATTTTCTAGACCTTTGGTAGCAAAACATTCTGGGTAATTGGGAGTTTCTGCCTGAAGTGGTGACATGGAATGATATGATTGGTCTACAGCATGGTATGTTTGGTCTGTGGAATGATATGATTGGTCCAGGGGATGGCATCTCAATTCCCTATAGCTCACTGACTGGAAGTTTTGGTCTATAGGTTTTGGTCTCTGGGAAAAAGTCTTGTTGCTATGAGTAGTTAAGCCTGGCAAATGAGATGTAGATAAGGATTTACTGCTCTCTTCAAAGAACTTTCGTCTGTCTGCAAATGGCAAGAGGATGGCTTCTTCCCCTGCTTGAGCAGTAGATGTCTTCGGTTCTTTGTTGTCATTTGGGCTGGAAGGACCTTCTGTGGATAAAGGCACCTGTGACTGTGGGTTATATTCTGGTAAGCATCTCCAGTGACCTCCACAGACCCCCTGGGGAGCATTTGCTTTGTCAGTTTCTAAGGAGGATGAGTCAGATGCCTTCCACCAGGTGTTCAGGCCCAAAGAAGACTGGCCAGACCTCTGGCAAGGGCTTATCCTTCCCTCTAAGTCTACCCTAGCTTTGGAGCTCTCGGAGGCTTGGCTGAGGCACTCTGAAGACCTAGCCCTGAGAATCATGTTTTTGTTGAAGAGCTTGTCTCCAGGGCTAGGGACTTTTTTATATGAAGACAGAAGAGACGAATTAGAAGCAGAGAGTGGAGGGCTCTCTGGAGGCTCTTGGGTCTCTTGCACTGGCTCCTTAGTGTCACACAACTGTGACAATGGACCCTTACTTTTCTGGAGCTGGGCTTTCCTCCTCTGAATTTCATTCCTAAGATTGGTAGCAAACCTCTCACTCTTCCGCCGGTTTTGGATGGAGCGTCCGCGGGCGCCTCCGCTTCTTCTGCCACCCAATCGGCCACATTCCTTGGTCTCACTGTCACCTTCGTCAGTTGCTTCTGTGTGACCAGCTTCTTTAGAAGTTGAAAAGAAATCTCTGGCTTGTTGAATGGAGGAGCAAGTGGCAGAGGGCTGTTGGCTAGCCAAGTCACTGACTGTTCTGCTTGCTCTGTTTGGGTCCAAGTAAGTTCGTTCTGGCAGGTGTCCATCAACCTCTCCAAGTGGGGAACCACTTTGGCTCCGGTGTACTGAACCCATCAGCTTATCATCTATAAGCTTGGTCTTCCTTTCATTGCTAGGCTGGTCCTGAGTGTCTCCTGTGGGGAGACCTGAACTTTTCTTTCCCTTAGGGTTGTTGTGCAAAGGGGACACAGTCCACTGGTGCCCATCCTGCCCAGTTGGCAACTCCATCCCCTTGCTGCCTCTGGAATCAAGGTGCACTTGCTGCAAGTGGGAAGCCAGCAGCTGCTCAGGGGCACTATGACGATGCTCTGTGGTTCCTCGGAGGCGTGGAATGGCACCGAAGGTCAAAGTGTTAGCCAAATCTGCTGGAGCATCCTTAACCAGGCTGAACTCTCTGCTGGAACCTTTGTCATGTGTTTTTGGGGAATCAAGAGCTTTAGAGGAGCCCTCTCTTAGTAGATGCTCAGAGTCCTCCTGGCTGGATTCAGAAGGTTGGCTGAACTCACAGTTCTGGTGACCCTCACCTGTCACTTGGTCTTGCCCACTAATGCAGCAGAACTGGTTAGGGTCCCTTGCAGGAAGCACTGTCTCTAAGCCTTGTTTCTCCTTCTGTTGCAACGAGTCCACAGGCTCAGATGTACGGCGCTGTTCTCCATTGAGGAGTTGGGCTCTAGAGGCCTGAAGGCTGTCCCGCCTCACTGGAGGCTCTGGTGGACCTTGGACCATCTTGGCAGGTCCTGAGTGCTGGCCCTCCTCTGGGCAGGATGATTCATGAGAAGTGGAGGTCACATGGCCCCCACTGGTACTGTGGCTAATTCCTGAGGTCTCAGATATATTAGATCGGCCATCAATGGCTTTAGTTTGTCCTGGGCCTGGCATGACACAGTCTGTGGATGGTGGTTCCTCTGGCCTAAGGGATAGGGCACAGTCAGAGGCATTTGAGCTAGCTGAGAAGGAGCTGTAGGCTGAGTCACGCTGGCTGGGGTACATGTTCTGGTCAATGGGTAAGAGGTGGCCCTCGTAGGTAGCTTGGCCTGGCTGTTCCAGGCTCTCCATGCTGCCAATAGAGCTGCTTTTCTCAGTACTGCAGTGCCGGGAGAGGGGGCACCACTGTACACACACGTCACTGTAAGACACAAGGTACACACATTAGTTAGCCAAGAAATCAGATACTTTTCTTACTCTGCCCAGTCCACCATGGGAAAGGGCGGGTCAGGTCAGAGCCACCCATGTTACAAATGAAAGGAAAATGAGACAAAGGGGAAAGAAAGGGAAATAAGTAAGGACACTGACACAGTCATACCACAGAAACACAACAAATGAGACAGGATTTCCTATAGAGGAAGAATGAGCAAACAGCCCAAGGAACAGGGAGATGCCATGGGGATTATGCACTATGTTACTGCTAACAAGTCTTAAGCTGCCTCTGAATAGTCACTGTCAGTCCAGTGTACTGTTCTCTGCCAGGAGAGACAATCCAAAATATCAGCGTTAGAGAGACTTATGGCACTGATTTGACTTCAGCCAGACCATTTCATAAAGCAGTGATTCTCAAAACTGAGTGTGTGTCCCAATCACATTCAGGGCTTCTTATAAAAAGGCTACTGGGCCTCATTACACTTTTGAAAGTCAATGGTGTCAATGAAACAAGCTCCACAGAGGGGCGTGACTTTGAGTAGATAATTTTTACGAACTGTAACTAGTAGCACAGTCAGGGATGGAGTTTAAAAGTTCCTTTATTCTGGGAATTCCGTATCACTTTATTTGTAATACTGGTGGTGGGACTGAGGGCCCAGAACATGGTAGGGCAGAGCACTGTTATTGGGCTACATCCTCTGAACCTACTATTTTTCTTGATTAATAGAAATTTTGAATATTTACTGAAGCCTTTTACAGTCTTCCATTTGAAGCCCAAATGAGATTATTCACTTCACTTTTTAAGTCACGAAGTAAAGCAAACTGACTATTTCAGCAAGCTGCTGAATTTCAATTGGAATCTAGGACTCTCAATCCAAAGTCTTAGCTCCTGTCTGATAACAATTTCAAATGGGAGAAAAATAGTAAACTCTCTGCCAGAGTGTTACTGTGTAGATGAAATTAGATAAGAAACAAAGAGCCCTTGTCAGAGTCCAGTCATCTACCAAGGGCTCAGTACATAGCAGTAGCTGCTCTCAGCTGTCATGTTATCATTGTCCTTTCTACTACTTGGAATGATCTATGAGTGGGCTTTGCTCACCCATACTACCCTTATCTACCAACAGCAAAAGCACGCCAGGAAGACCAAGGATAAGACATAATGTTGAAGGTTAAGTACCATTTCCCAAACACATAGCCAGACTGAGCCAAGAAATGTCATTAACTCTCTTTGACTAGAATCTCAGGGATTGCAGGTTGCTCTCAATAAGGCCATAGCTCAGAAAGCAAGCCACAGCTGAGCTGTAACAGCAGCTCATAAGACCTCCAGACAAGTTTCTCCTTAGTCTTACACATTGCATGGTTTTAAGCTCATTTGGTTCTGAGTTAGTAAAACATTAATTTCTTGTTGGCAAGGGAACCTGCTATTCACCTCACTTTCTGCTGGAACACACACACACACACACACACACACACACACACACACATATATATATACTCAGACAGGAGCCAGATCTAGAATATAATTCTGTGTCTTCTTCTAGAACAAAGCTGCCTCTGCCATTAGACCTTCGCTGGCTTCCAATACCAAATAAAATGTCCAAATTAGGGGAAACTCACCGCTTAGCTTCCTTGAACCCCCCCCCCACAACAAAAACCCACTCTTGGAGGGGAGATCTGATTATTGAAGGAAAAATGCAGCCGAGTACTACACTTTGGCTGGTTTTGCAATTGTGGGGGGGGAAACAAACAACAAATGGTTTGCCACTTGAGTAGTTGTTTCAATAAACATGGAGAACACCAAGCTCCTTGCATTGAGCTAGGCCCTGTGACCTGGGGAGGTCCCTGTTTCGGGGGTTTCTGCTCTGTGGTAGAACCAATGAACACTAGAGCAAGTTCCTAGAGAGTGAATATAGACAAAGACTACCCCCCCTGACAACCCACAGGAATTTAGAACCTGAGAAAGAATAACTACTGAAATAAAATGAGAATCAGGGCAGAATGGTTATCTTTTTTATTCAAATGAGGTACTTCTAGGAAACACTATCAAAAAGTAAAGATGCACTCAAAATCATGGTGCTAGCCTGTCAGTCACTTAATTTTATATAAAAGCCCAAGGACTCTAGATGGCCATGCCATTTTCTGTTATACCACTTCAGCTTCTAAACCATCCAGCAGGGACAAGATCAGAGGAGGAGAGTGACCAGGCTGTCCATTCTCCAGCCCACCTTGAGGGGGGAGTCTTAGACTCACCTTGTGTTGCAACCGGAATGCCAGGATAAGCTGAAGGCTTCAGAAGGGAAATGCATGGTGGTGGCCGCTTCAGGGCACCCCTCCAATAGCTTGGCCACATGCCATGAGTGCGGCCTACTGACAGGGATGTTTCTCCTACAGCAAGAAAGAGTCAGGAAGTCAGTGTTGAAATCACTTTCCAAGTGACTTCTGTCCCTATATCCGCTTTCCATTCAACGAGCTAGATTATATTCCAAGGAGTTGGTGTAGACATCTAAGTGTTCCCTTAGCTCTACTACTCAAATTTCCTTTATTCAATGGATGATTGCTGAAGACATAAAATGCCAGCTTCAATGGGAATGTTTTGTTCCTAGTCATATCCAGATATTGCTAGGTGGTGGTAGTGTACACCTTGTAATCCCAGCACTTGGGAGGCAGAAGCAGGAGAATCTATGTGAGTATGAAGCCAGCCAGGTCCACAGAGACAGAAAGAGTCCCAGGACAGCCAGGACTACACAGAGAAACCCTGTCTTGAAAAACCAAAGCAAGCAAACAAAAACATATCCAAGTATGTACATTAATGCTAAACACACAGTAGATTCTCAATAAAATTTGTGGACAACACAAGAGCTGCTGACTAATGAACAGCAAGCCTACCAGTATTTGTCTTTGAGGGAAAAATATCAATATGATCAATCTTCCCATTTTTCTCCGCAAAAGGAGGTAAGTGGTTAAGATGCTTTAGCAAGCCAAATGGTGGAGTATGAATTGCTCAAATGTTCTTCATTAATTCTATAAGTATTTATTGTATGCTTACTAATGCCTTCCGAAATACATATAGTTCTGGGGATATAGCCATGAGTCAAACACAGTCTATATCTCTGAGAGCTTGCTGATTCATGAAAGAAATAGAACCAATTGAAATAAAGTATCATAAAATGGCCCTAGAGACTGAATGTTAAGATGGACACAGGCGTACATAAGTGAAATACTCGAACTTGCAGGAACAGTAATAGCAAGGGGTCTAAACTCTTGTGAGGAGAAAAAGGACAAAGTGGTTATAGGCTAGGATGACAGAAGAAATTGGCTGAAAATTTAGCATGCCAGGGACAAATAACTGGAAACCAGTCTGAGGCCAAGACCCCCACTATAACCAAAGGTTCTAGTCTGGGGCAACTCTTACATTGATTTGTTTGTACAACACCCATCACTGCCAACTGGCACACTTCACATGATCAGATTCCACTCCTACAAATGGGAAACATAACCCAGGATATGGTAGAACTAGGAGATAAAGAGACGACTGATGGGAGGGAGAATAGAAGCAGGAGAAGGAAGACATATATGTGAGAGAACAGAGGGAAGACTATAGGGAGAGGGCAGAGAAGGGCCAGGCAGATGCAAAAGACAAGGAGAGATGAAAGAGAGACAAACAATGTCAGAAACTCTGAGAAAGCTTATAGAAATATAAGAGGATACTAGAAATATCAGTGGATGCTAGGCATGTGAATGACACTGTGAGACAAATACATACTAGGTTAAGTAGATAGTGGAGCAATATCAAAATGATAGATTATTTACTAATTCATTAACAGGCCCCATATGGGGCACTGGTGGTACAAATAAGGACTCCTGTTTTCAGAAAGCTTGTTATCCAGTGGATAAATAAATTCTCTATGTCCCATGAGCAATGGCAGGCAGAGTCAATAGGGAAGATTGTAGCCTCTCAAGAAATGCGAAAATTCTGAAGATTCAGACAGCACAAGACCAAAGCCTAAAAAGGTAGTCCTGAGGAGGCCTTGCTGGAGGTATATGACTAAGTGGTAATAGGCCAGACACAGACAACGAAAGATATAGGAAAAAGGGCAGAGAAGGTTACTTGTCAAACATCAGGGCCATAGATCCACAGTAGTGACTAAAATTTGTGGTGAGGCCCCACCTTCATAATCACATTGTTCTGTGACAGAACACTGAGTATACAGCAAGAAGGCTGAAGGTACCAGAAGGCACTTCACTTGCTATATGCTTCGTTAGAATATCACCCAAAGCTGCTGTGCTAGAAGACCCTGCTGCTACTCATCGGGCGGTCAACAAGTACTTATCATGCGTCTCCCAGTTGGAGGAAAGGGTAGTAGTAGGTCTGTATACATCTACTATGTCTTAAGCTTCTAAGCACTGAGCCTGTGGTATGAAACAGGGAACCTTTGCTATTTTGGGTCCTTCTTCCATATCCAGGATTTCTGAGGTTCTTCTGAGTCCACAATGTAAACTAGTAAACGTTGATCTTCCCAATTGTTTAACCCACTATTCGTTCTCTTAAGTCTTCTTTTATGAGGTATCTTTGGCTTGTCTGCCTTCTCCATCTATCTCCCTTCCATTTTTCCTTTTCTCTCTCTTTCCTTCCTCTCTCCTCCATTTTGTTACCATTATAGAGTCATAATTCTCCTTCCAGAATCCACCTCTACCTTTCAATTCTAGTCCATGCCCTCAACATTGTATCCAAAGTATTATGTCCACTTGCCAAAGAGTATATTCTTGTTCTATTTCTATTCTTGGCTTTTAGGTCCTACCAGGTTAAATAACAACTGAATTTGATGGCCATTCTCTACCACTAAATCCCAATTTCTTACCCTGAGCTGCTTCAAATATAAACTGGATCAGACTTTCCAAGTCTCTATAGGCTGCTGTATCATACCATAGCTTGACCTCCCTGCTCTAATCACACCCTCCCTGCTCTAATCACACCCCGTGGCTAGCTCTGTTCTTTCCCAACTCTCCTTTACTGGTGTTCATTTTCCAACAGAATTTTCCCCAGTGACTGGACTGCTTTGATTTGAATCCCAACTCTATCAACAAGGGACAACTTCTCAGAACTAAGCAGTCCATAGAAGTTAAAAAAGGAGATGGTCATTAAATTGCAAATCTTTGTGGACATGAGGCTCTAAATACTGTATAAATTAAATAAATATGTACTGCTAGTGTCATCTCCAAGGAGTCTATCTCAAGTAATGTAGCTCTCATGATGTAGCCCATCATAACATGTTATTTTGTACTGCTTATCAGCAGTTCATGTACATTAGCTTTGTTCCACTAACTATATTAAACCAGTATTTTACGTGTGTGACTCTGTGAGAGTCAAGCCATAAGAGCTACTCTTTTTGTGAGAAATGGAAGAGTGGTTCTCACCTGGCTAGGTTACTACAGCAATTAGAAGCAGCAACCTCACCTGCCTATGTTAATATGGGTATCAAAGCATCCAGTAAATAGTCTAGTGTTTTACCAAGTGGTCAGTAAATCCTACGGACTACAATATTGGCTATTACCTCAAACTTGTCCTTTTAGATGGCTCAGGGCACTTGCAACCAAGTGTGCCCGAGAAACTTTGGCTCTGCTTCACTACTCCCTTGCCACATTTAAAACAGTAGCTGATAAAGGCCCCACAGTCTCTAGGGTTTCTCCAGAAGTAGAAAATAATCCCAGAGGAGACAGGGGAAGGTAGGGAGGACGCTGGGGACACTAGAAAAAATAAACACTGGGAGGAAGGAAATCTCAGCAGAGAGAACTGGAGCCAGATCGAGTACCATTTAACACTAGCTTAAGAAAGAGAAGAAACAGTCTACAAGCCTAGCACCTGTCCTATTATCATTTGTGAACTGTCCTAGACTCAACACAAACCTGTACTCAAACCCAAGTTGTGTAACCTTGTCCAAGGCATTTCTGAGGTGCAGATTTTTACTTGCGGCAAGGGGGCTGGGCTGGAACTTAGGACCATGTATGCAAGGCAAGTACTCTATTACACCACAGGAGCTTGAGTTGTATATTTGTGTATTCTCTATATGTAAAATGGGATGATGACCATCTATTTCTCATGAGATATGGTCTGGTTTAAATGATGCAGTCCCATGTGTGGAATCGATTAGCATAGTGCTTGATACAGATAGTCTATAAACCTACAAAAAATATAACAGGGGCCTCTATTGAACACTGAATCTATGTCAAATACTAAGTACCTCATATGCATCAGCTGGTTTAATCCTCATTTCAATGTCACGTGTAAGAACTATTAGCATGCCCACTTTATCAATGAAGAAAGAGAGGTGCAGAAAGCTTAAATTATTTGTCAGAAACACATAGCTAGCAACCAGATCTATGGTTAGAATTAGGATCAAAACTTGGATCTGGGACTAGCAAACTTGCCACACAAGCCAGATAACCTAGGTTCAATTCCCAAAATCCACACAAAGGAAGAAGGGGAGCACCAAAGATACAAAGTTGTCTTCTATCTTCCACAAGCATACCTTGGTACCCAGTCACACATGAATAATACATTTGAAGGAAAAATGACTCAGATCCTCAAGCTTTTTCTAGAAAACCGTATTTCCCCTCCTGCCCAAAGGGCTCTATTTCATAAAGTTTATATACCTAAGGCTTGACATAACCATACCTCAATAAGCAATAAGAAAAAGGAGGTCTCGGTGGTTCTGGATTTAAAACTATCTCATCCAGTGGAGAAGGGGGAGGATGAGAGATGAGTAGTATAAGACAAGCTCAAGCATCAATTATACAGCCCAACCCCAATTTAGGGATGACTACAACCCTCATCTTTTTCCTAAAGCTGGGGTAGGCACTATGACTGAACACAGTCTGTAACTTATTATCCTCAAATGCCTGTATTAGGAAAAAAAAAAAAACTAAGACACCAAAGAAAGACAGCAGCAGGAGGAAAAAGTTGGAAACTGGCTGTACCTACCATGGAAGTTGCTCAAAGGAGCGATGGCTTATGAGAGATTGGAGTATGCAGATAGTTCACAGTCTCATCATCAACCACTCCAGTGTCTTCGCTTAGCTGGGGACCATCAGCCCTCTACTTAAGACCTCCCTGGGTGTCAGGCCAGCAGCCCAAGACCCTAAATGTTATCCAAGGAGTTCAAGTGGACAGCAAACCACAGCTATCAGGCTGCTTGGGTTTTTCTGTGGCCACAACCTTAGAGAATGTCAGCCAGTGTCAAGGGCTGGATAAGAGTAAAGACACTGCTCCAGGAACCAGCCAGCGCCCTAGTGGCAAAGAGAAGGAGGAAAGGCAGTTCCAGCAGCAACCCTCCCACCCCCACCCCGTTCCTGACTCCTACCTCCTCTATGCCCTGGCCCATCCCATC